CTTTAATAAAGATGATCAAAAGGATGACACTGTACTTTTACTTTATTAAGGACAGTGGTGGGTGGAAGGAAGAGATTTTAAATACAAGCCCGAGAAAAACTGGAGATTCATAACTAACAAAAGTTCCTCCTCTGTGTTCTTTCCCTTCTCTTTCCAAAATTGCCACTCACTGTACCACCATATTAGTTGTCCAAATGGACAGAAAACAGGATACTTAGATTTCAAAAGTGAAACGCTATCAACACATTCTGCAGTACCTATAAACTACCAAGAAGAAACTACCCTGGTCAGTCCAATTAGAGATCTCTAGAGGGTAATTGTAATACTAGTTTTGAAGTTCAGGAAGACTCCAGTTTAGAGTCAACCAAAAAAATCCCACAAAGAAAGCATCACAAATCTACCTTTTGTACTAAAACAGGTCTAGAAGGAAAAACAGACATGATTTTAGGTAATCAGCTTTATACTGCCTAGCAAAAGCACAGCAGCATAGACTTCAGCAGTGCTATAACAGCCCCAGCCCATGGTTATCGGGCCTCTCTCTGATAGAGCACCTACACTACTAGGCCAGAAAAACTGAAGTTACATAGTATACCAGTCCACCCTACATCCATGTCTTTTAGTTCTGTGAGCATGACGACAGCTTTTTCATCTTCTAAAAGCAAACATTCATTAGCCATGCAGTCCTGAAGGTCATCTTTGTCACAAAGCTAACTCTCATCTTCCCACACGCTAAAATCAAGATGAGAACTGTCAGTGAAAGCAACAGATCTAACATACATCACTTCTCCCTACTTACACAGAAGTTTATCAAACTAATCAAAATTATACATCTACTTTCAAAAACACTTTTCAGTAGGATTTTTTTTTAAATGTTCTCTGTGCATACTTTGCACTGTTTATGCATGATGTCCTGTTGAAAGAGTCAAATCAACAATTGTTTTACATGCACCCTTACTTATCACATAATCCTAATACTATGCCAAACACCAAGACCTACAGCATTCTTTTTGCTGGAACTGGTATTAGATTGCTTCTCTTCTTAGCCGTTCACCTTTTTACGTACATACTTGCAGAGAAACAAAAGGAAGATTAAAAAAATGAAATAAAAAGCAAAACTTGACTTTTTCAAAGTTGAAAAGTAAAATGTGACAGGAAACAAATATCACCAGTTTTTCCCCTACTACCAGTTTAAACGCTGATTACAAAGTTTTACCATCAACATACAGGTTAGTTTATGTCTTCATGTGTTCACACACATGTAAGTCCTGCACGTCTGAATGTCTCCCCAAGTGGTTTAAATACTGCATCTGCTTTGTTCACCTACAGTGCTGCTTGTGCAGTGCTGTAATCCTCTAACAGAACACACAGTTCTCCACAGACAACAGCATTCTTTTCCTCTATCAATAGCTAGGCGCAGTTCCCGATTCTGCTATCCAAATATTAGTAACGTGAAGACATTCACTACTCACTTGAAAATCCCCGAAGTGTTTTAGAAGTATTATTTCTCCTAGTACCCACATAAAACTGGACAATTGTGGACCCTCAAAATTGTGGGTAAAACCTCACCCCATGAAGCCCTACATGCAAGTCCTAGATTTTCCTGTACTGTAAGGGAGGAAGCAAAGAACTACCGGCTAGTTGCATAATTCCTGCAGGAGTCAAAAGGTAACCATGTTTATATGTGGGACATGCAAGAACATGCAAGAAGCAACAGGACTGTCATCTTATCAAAAGGCAGTCCTTTCCAAATTCGGGAACTGGCAACTGGCACATAAAATGGACGTCATACTGGTAGAGGCCCCATGAAGTCTGGATGTCACTGTACCAGCTGTTCAGAAGCACATGCTGACAACTCCACAGTAAAGTATCACAAGTTGTAACAAACACCACATTTCAAAGGTATCAGAAATTTCTTTATCGACTTTTTTAAATTATGGAAAAAAAATTTCTCTAGATGATTCCTGGTTAACCCCATTTAATTTCTCTAAACTTCTGTAAATACATTACTGCAAAATGTTCACATACAGCAATTCTCAGTTCTTTAACAATGGTAACATTGGCAGAGGTTGCAAAACAGTCAGACATTCTCAGCCAAAATAAACACCATTCCAAGATGAAGTGTGCCACTACTACTTAGTTCAGTGGAAGTTTAAATTTAAAGTGTGATGTGGCCACTTGACTTTATTTTCCAGTTAATTTTAACTGCCCACAGTAAAGAATTGTGCAAGTATAACTCTTACCGCAAATTGCTAAGAGGATAATAATATGCATAGTTTAAAAAACAGAATTCAATTTCAAGACTACACACACTTAGGTTAACATAAAATCACTCACTAAGAAAATCAGTTGAAAGCACCCCTTTAATGATAAGTTATGGCCCAAATAAAGAGGTAGGATCTCCAATAATTCTGCATAAAATGCAACACAGAGTAGATCATCTCTCTCAAATTAATGTGTGGTGAATAGTTTTGATATAATGTTCCATAAATCAGTACAGACTGGACTATTAATATGAAGTTAACATTAATATCACATTACGATGAAAAATAATGCTCACGAGCTTCTTTTCAATTCAATGCTATACAAAAGTAGCTTGAGTATTAAAAGTAAGTTTTCATAGCAGTCAAAAGCTCCATATTCGTGTTCAATTTTAACTTACCAAACTTTTGGGAAAAAAGGTAAAGTTCTAATTTCACAACAGAAACACTTATTACATGTGTCATTTTGGAGACCTACACAGTTGCTTTTACTTCCTTTATAGAATTTTGAACATCAGTTTGGTTCTAAATAGACCCCTTACCTATAATTTGTTTTACACTAAAATTCTCTATGCTGTCTAAACAATTTTTTTTTTAAAATTAAATCAACCAGAACAAACAACAGAAAGAAACAACATATTGTTTATTCATACCATGAAAGGAAAAAAAAAAGGGGGGGGGAACAACACACAACCAAATATTATCAAATATTATTGCATTGTCATATACAAGCGTACATTTTTTTCTCTTTGCCACATGGAGATACACTTCACTGTTCACAAATAACATGGCCAAATCAAGAAAAACTGGTCCAGAACTGAGTAGCAGTTTCAAGTTCAGCACTTCCCAGGGATATTGTCCAAGCTAGCAAAGACCATATATCCCAAGACTGGGAAAGAGGGCAGAAGGACTGATTTTTCCACTGATATGTCTTCTTTAAGAAGCACACACACAAAAAAACCAAAATACACAAAAAGGTAAAGTTCACACATCTCCTTACAAAATTTTCTTATGCATTGTTTATCTTAGTACCATTTTCCCTCCCTGAAAAACACCAATTTCTTTTAACCTTCAATCATTATCGTATGTTCAGTACCTAAGAGTTTTTTTATTGCAGCCCTCCAAGTTGTTCTCACAGGATTTGGTGCTGCAGCTGAGGTATCACTCACATCAAAAATATCAAAATAATTCTCTTCCATGACTACAGATTAAAATCCTGTAGCATTTACCTTTTTGGGATGACATCACATTGCAATACGCTGCAAACAAATGAGTCACCAGCCCCCAGGCCTTTACTGCAGGGATAATACCTAGTCGCTTATTCTCTGCTTTACTATAGGCTAGTATTATTTCTTCCTTCCCAAGTGTAGTTCTTTGCATCTGTTGACTTTTTGCCTTCACAACTTATTATGATCAGTACATATACTCATTCTCTCTTTTACCCCTTTCCTGCTTCATTTGAAAAACTGCTAAAGCTCCCACTATTTATTTTAATAATAGGTTTAAGGTGCATTCTGAATTCAACCTATGAGAGCAAACATATTTAGTATGGTGGAAACAACTTGAGGAAGATGACTGGTAGTCAAAGACAAGATATTCTCATGAAAAACACACAGATGTGTGTTTTCTATAATGTAAAGAAAACACGGGTGACATTCAGGCAGTATGCTTTTCAGAGCAAGGGATGACTACTGTTAATGCAATAGAGGATACAAGGGTAATTTTTACTTCTAATGTTACTAGAATAAAAACAAGCATTCTTCAATCAGAATGTGTAATTTGGGTCTTCATTGTGAGCACACACTAAGAATGTATTCAAATTCTTAGTATGAAAGGTCTGCATTTATAAAACATGTAGGAAGCATAAACTAAAAAGCAGACTCTTGAGATTGTAAATTGAAGGACTGGGGTAGGTATTTTAAACCCATGTGATAAAAAATGCTTTAAAGCAGCTATGCTTACAACAGTTTCTTTGGTAGAAGAGATGTGAGGGGGACCTACAAAGGCACTATTAGACTACATTAAGAAATCTAGACAAGGCAAAAACAACAAGGGATGAAAGAAACATGAAAGTGAGTTCTGTGAAAGTCTGCCATACTATTCAAGCTTAAAACTCTGTATTATTTTTGTTGTCTGGAAGACAGACTTAAATAAGTATACAAGTTATACTTCTTAAGCTTTGGTAAACACTTTGAAAGAAACATGCTTTTCATGTGTTTGATACAGACAAAGCATTTTTCCATCACAAACCCAGCAACAGAAATTTGACAACGAAGTTAAGACTATAGCCATATAGAAACAAACTGCTAAGTGTGGGGAGCTGTGTCTTCTTTCACATTCACTCATCAGACTTATTCAAGACTTTTTTTTTTTACAGTTACATTTAAATGCTTCAGGGCCCTCTTTCCAATCTGAAAGACTTTGCTGCATGCAGCTTAAAAGACATGTTCCTCCAGCACTGCAGCACCACTGCAAAGTCTGGGAGCTGTGGCCAACCTACTTCCTCTTTTAAGCATGTGCACACACTAATTTTAACACTGGCATAAAAAAAACCTGCATACAGCAGACTAAGCTGAACCAGAACTAAAGACCACCTTTTGCTCAGCAAGGGGATCAAAACAAACCAGTCAAATATAAAGTAGGAAACAAAGAGAACTGTTAACTTGGCAGACTTGACTGCTTATTCTAAAGTAAAACAAGCATTTAGAAGTTACAGCAAAACAGCAGATTTTTATCCCTTACCTCTCTGACTTCATGGAGTTGACCAGAACGCTGGCTCTTTGCCCTTCGAGCAGCTGCAGGTGATTTGTGATGTGTGATGGTTACAACAGTTGGCCCACTTTGATTCATAAGTTTCTGGCCACTAGGAGATGCAGAATTAACTGTCCCAGACGGCAGCAGAGATGAGCTTCTACTTCTCGAGGATGAAATGCTCTAGAACAAGCAATGGGATGTTGATATCTACAACCTTTACACAAGTAAATAATTTACAATTCAGGCTACAGATTTGGGCTTTCTTCACAATCCTAAATCTGGAGGTGTAACTGTGGTCAGGACTGATTTATTCCTTTTGAACCACCTGCATTGCTTAGCAGGGACCTTCTTGAAAACACTGTGGCTATCTCCTTTGTTTCTTGGATTGTCTGAAATTGGCTTTCACAAACTCTTACATGTTAACATGCTGCTAAGTTCTTACAACCATACTTTTTAGGAAAGATTAGAAAGGATTTTGCAGACAGAGTAATAACAATGGCAACACAAACACTTTTTATGAAGCCATTGACCTATAATTCACCAAATTGGTATGAACAGCAAGGAAGAAAAAAAAAATTAATGATTTAACCTGATGAACTTCTGAAGCAGTGCAGTGCTTTTTCAACATTAGGGAAGCTGCAATTTTGGCAAAGCCAATCCACACACCAATTAAATGTTAACATTTAAAACAAAACATGGCTTAAACAGTCAACACATTCTGGAGTAAGCTTGGGATAAACCCTAAATACAAAGAAGGCCAGAAATAAATCTCCAACAGTATATGCAGTGTGAATACTCTTAACATGCAACCTGTAAAATCAGTCTGCACATACAACAACTTTGTCTGTTCTTATCTGTTTGTCAGTGTTGCCACCTTTGTTTGTTTTCTGCAGCCCTCAAACCCATGTTTCCCTGGAGGTCTTTAGAGCAGCTGTTCTCAGTCAAGCTCAGGTGTGCACTAGAGCACCATGCAACATCATATATAAAAAAAAGTGTAATAGATTTAAAAAAAAAAAGCTTTTCCCTTCTATTTTAACTGTTGGTTGCACCTGTAAGGTTAAAACTGAAACAGAATCTTACCTCATGAAACACAAATCACTTCAGAAAGTGACATTTAGTAGCACTTTAAGATGAGGTAAATATACAACCCTGTGGGTGAAATACTATTTCACCCCTCCTACAAACCCTGCACAAGTAATGATGGCAGCCTTCAACATTGCCAAGACCATCAACATGGGATTGAGTCTGCTGGCAAGTGCACAAAAATTTTACCTGGAGACAATCTCTCTCCTTACCCCTTACAGGTCAAGCTTTGCAATTCTGTAGTAATTTCATTAGAAGACGTTAAATTCAAAGTGGACAGGTTCCAACTAGCAGTGGAATTAAAGTCAGGCATCATATTATCGCTACCCTGACTGTAAATGACAAGGCAGATTATCTGGCACTGCCAAGAAGGAAGAGTGAAATAAGTTACATGATCCCTCTGCCACCCCCACACGAAACTAGACTTCAGACTTTTTGAGGCATTTGAAGGTTCTAAAAAATGTGTTATCACATTCCCAGCACGCAACAAGCTGCTACACTCATAGAAATAAGCATTATTCCAGTGGTCTTGACATATTTACAAACACTTCCAAGAATGATGGTCTGACTCTGTTTTTGCAACCAATATATTCTTTGCTATCATGACTAATAAGATTCTAATAATAAGTATCTGTAGAATCAAACATTCAAAAACTATCCACCCTGGCTGATAATTCACAATTGCATTAAAACTGGATTTGACTCTAAGGCAAAAAAAAACTCAAACCACAGGGGCTAGAATTTGTCAGACGTGCACAGAAGGTTGCCAGGTTTTTAACTCATCTTCCATTTGAAAAAGCATTGCTTAAACATAACTACAACTAAAACCTGAGCCAGAGGAAAGGTATTTGGGAGAAGGAAGTGGATGAGGGAAACTGAGTGACATTTAATTTCCTTTTTTAAATAGAATTTTCACAGAAAAAGGTTGTCCCTAGTATATAATAGCAGAACATACTTACTGATATTTCTTTTTTAAATTGACTAGCATCAGAAAACTTGTAAACTAAATTTAGGGTGCAGAGGAAGAGCAAGATAAGTTCACTTTTTTTCAGCATAAAATCAACTTATCTACCATTTGAATGAGTTATTTTGATTTTAGAATGAAATCTGCTGAGAATCACTGACATTCTAGTATCATACAATCATGATATTAAAAATATACGACCGCTACCTTCATATAACTAAACTGATCCTAAAACTCAGATAAACAGCAGCAATGTTTCCCTCACTACAAGAAGGACATTGAGGTGTTCGAGCTTGTCCAGAGAAGGGCAACGAATCTGGTGAGGGGTCAGGAGCACAAGTCTTATGAGGAGCGGCTGAGAGAACTGGGGTTGTTTAGTCTGGAGAAGAGGAGGCTGAGGGGAGACCTTATCGCTCTATACAACTACCTGAAAGGGGGTTGTGGTGAGGTGGGTGTTGGTCTCTTCTCCCAAGTAACTAGCGATAGGACGAGAGGAAATGGCCTCAAGTTGTGCCAGGGGAGGTTTAGATTGGATATTAGGAAAGATTTCTTTCCTGCGAGTGTGGTCAGGCATTGGAACAGGCTGCCCAGGGAGGTGGTGGAGTCGCCATCTCTGGAAGTGTTCAAAAAACGCGTGGACGTGGCGCTTCAGGACATGGTTTATTGGGCATGGTGGTGTTGAGTTGATGGTTGGACTTGATGATCTTAAAGTTCTTTTTCAACCTTAATGATTCTGTGATTCTGTGATGTAAAACAGTGAGTTTAGCCATTAGTTTTGTTTGAAAGAAAACAACATTCTATGAGAAGTGAACTTCTATTATGTTTTGAGTTTCGGGGCGGAGTGGGAGACGTTATAGATCTGAAAATAACATTAAGTGACATAAAACAAATATGGAAAAATCCATGCACTGTTTCTGTTTAAATACAGAATCAGGAAGGAATTCTAGGAGAGAGTTAGCTTTCAGAAAAAATAGTTGACACAATAATCTCATTTAACCTGCACACTTTGATAGATATGGTTATAAACTGAAATGCATGTATATCATAAGTTAATATCTGTATCATTGACAATATTTAGCAATTCAATGCTATTTTTCCTCAAGACAGCATTTCAAACTGCAGCTGACCCGTAGATCACAACAGACACCTTGACTGCAGCTCACACCTCACATTTTCTCTCATCATATCACCTAACACAATATGCCTTTCACCAAACTCCACTCATGCTTGGGAGTCATAAATTTGATAGTGAACTATTAGTATAAAAGCTGTTAGCTAGCTGCAGATTTTTTAATTTCCTTTGTATTACAAATAAGTCATGAAGACATTTCCAAAAACAGGTATGCCCATCATTTTAGGAGTCTCTTAATCCAGATTAGATTTTTTTCCTGCAAGATTTGCTCTAGTTCATATCACAACTCACTGGGCTACATCAACTACACTCCTAAACTGTGACTTGAGGCAGAATAAACAGTCTGTGTGACCACAGTGCATTTAAGATGGCTTTTCATTAAGGTTTGCAAAGGCATGTGGCAGCTCACAGCAGCTGTTGGTGGTGGACAGTCATTCAGGACATGAAGCTTGGGAATCTGTGGAGCAGGAGAGAAAAATCAGGAAGAACTGCCCATCTATAGCTTCAGTAGCAGTTGGTGCTCAGAAAGGCTGTCCTGCTACAGGGACACTAAGTAACCCCAAATCTCTACATAAAGAGGTTCACAGCCTAGCAAGGGCTGCCCATATCACACTGCCTGGGGTGCCTGACATTCAGCTGCATGCCTTGCCCTCCAATAATGCTATGTGATCTCTAGGGCGAGTTAATCTCTGCTGGTGAGCCTCTCCTGTAGTCTTTTCCTTCCCCTCTCAGTACAAGATAGTTATCAGTCCTATGCAGCTCACTGAGTCAGGAAGACTGGCAATCCTGAAGTAGCACATACAGCCACAGTCTGTGCCAGTATCAGAGCCAAATACTTTGGTTTCAACAGCTCCTACAGGCCTATAAGCAAGTTTTCCTCACCTCTTTGTTTTCTATCTCTTTATACCGTTCATCTACCTAATGACCCAACACTTCCAGAAAACTCCACGAGCCCACAACACAAATCCTCTAGCATTGAATTTGAGATTAATGTTTAGAAGATGTCTGCAATATATAAACCCTAAATGAGTCAGCACCAGGACCGCTGGCTACCCTAGGCAAGACCCCATTATAAATGTAAAAAATTCCAACTTACAAGTTGCAAAAACAGTCACACACAAAACACGGGTGAACGTCTGCAGGAGGCAGTTTCTACAACCACTCAAAACCATTTTAAATTAGGGCTCCACTCCTCAATGCCACAAAGAGCAGCAGCAGAGCACTGTGCCTGTTCCGGCCAAGGAGATGGAAGCAGCAGCTGATTTATTCTGGCAGCTTCTTCCCACCACTGCCAGATAGAGGCCTCTCCAGGAACTACACACTCAGCCCCTTATGCACTTTTGAATTTTACAACACATTGTCAACACCTATGTCCCAGCCAAATACTTGACTTCTCTTTTGCAGAACTTCAGATTAAGCAGTGGGAATGACAAGCACCTTTTGCATTGATACACAGCTGTGCAAAAATCAAAGTCTTCCAATTTTGTTAAAATGTTAAAACCTATGTGATGTTTTCCATAGCTAAAAGCACTCTAATTACATATCATATTACAACAGTCATTAAAGCCACTCTTACATGAAATCAAAGCAGTAATAGTAACTGATGGATCTTTATTCCTAATCCCCTGCTCTTCCCCCTAGTGCTGCTGCTATGACTGATCAGCCCAGCTAACTATTATCATATCTCCTTTTCTTTGGTCCTACTGCTTTCTGGTTTGCAAATAAATAAATAAAAAGATAGTGAAAAGTCTGATGAAAGGAAGCCATAAGCTCTTCACAAATTAGTAATGTATGGTGCTGATGAGTCAAGAAATCCACAGGCTGAAGCACTCCAAAAGGATTACAAATATTCTTTCCTGAGGCTACACTTTACCATTGCTCCAACAATTTGCCTGCTAATAAAATGAAACTAGTAAAAGAATAATAAAGCAGCTAATAAAAGATTAATTTGTAACTTGTGTTCATCTTGGGTTTATGACCTAAAGCGAGCTAAAGTACACT